AAAATAGGATAATTGTACTATAGCTGTCACACAAAATAGGACCTTAATATTTCATTTATACTAAAGTTAATACGAGGAAATCTTTTTTTGTAAAACACAGTTTTACACAGATGCCTCAAACTACAGTATAGACTACAGAAAGGTTCAGTGCCTGTGTGGCTCCATCTGTGCTTCTCACCTGTGGAGATCTGGATGAAGCCAAAGAGGATGATGATGATCAGAGCCACCAACTTGGAGGCTGTGAACAAGTCCTGCACTTTGGTGGCCGCTCTGACACTGATGCAGTTTACGAATGTCAGAGACGCTGCAGGAGGTGAGAGATTGGAAGAAGAATTAGAAGAAATGTTCACATTGAATGAAGAAATGCATCAAAAGTTGTGTCTGTTACTCTCTGAACTAGGCCCCCGAACTCACTGAGACACAGGCAGGCAATGAGCTTGGCGGCACTGTCGGGCACAGAGCAGTCTGGGTAGAGAGGTTTCAGAAGATATGTAGCGAACACCAGCGACACCACGTACTGCGACGAAGGCCGAATGATGAGCATCTCAACCCACAGCTTCAGGAAGGCTGCCAACTCGCCGTACACTTCCAGGATGTAAGTGTAGTCCCCCCCTGACTTGGTGATGGTTGTGCCCAGCTCGGCATAGCACAGGGCGCCCATGGTCGAGATCACTCCACACGCTGACCAGATGATGAGGGAGAGCCCGGCCGAGCCCGTCTCTTTGACCACACCTGTCGGGGTGACGAAGATGCCCGAGCCGATGATGGTGCCTATGATCATCCCCACGCCGTTGAAGAGGGTGATGCTGCGTTTGAGCTCGATCTTCTCCCCCTTGGCGGGTGAGCCTTTGGTGGGGCTCGTGGCCGTTGGAGCAGAGACCAAGGAGGCAGATGGAGATGCTGGCCGTTCCTCGATGAGACCATCTTGGTCTGGGTCTGTATCGGCTGCTGAAGGAGAGGAGCAGACAAACGAGGAGAAAAATCAGCAAAGTGGGAAACTTTTCAGCAGTGTGAGAGTTCTTCTGTCCGTGTGCATTCCAGCCATTATTTCTAAATCTTTGGCATGCACAGTTAAAGAACAGTTTAAGAACCGGTTAATAACCAGTTTGTCAAGACTGTCCCTCCCTAATGCTTTTACCTCCTTCTGTTTCAAAGTGAACACACACTGCTCTAGAGTATTTTGTAAATAATAGTGCATAATGCTTGTCCCCTTTCCCCACCTCGCTCACCTATCCATGACACACACATCTAAACCAGCATGATCGTTTCAATACCAACATCCAATTGTGCGTTTGCATCAGGCAATGTTGCAGCAGAGCGCATGGCGGATTATTGCAGCCCTGCACCATGTGGTATCTACAGGAGTGTGAGCATGCACTGTACCTACCCGCTATCTTCTCCTGGCTCGCCGCCTTAGAAACACGCTCACTACTGCTCCTTGATTTCAGCTCCGGCTCAGCCATCTTCCCTCTCAGTCTGGGTCCCCTTGTCTTGTCTTCTTTCTTCCTCCTGCCCCCCTTTTCCTTCCTCCCTTTATGCCCCCTTTCTTCCTGCTGCCTGGATTTCCTCCTGTCTTTTTCTCACACACACACACACAATCCACCCCTCACTCTCTGTCTCTAACCCTTTCTGATTCGTCCACACTGACGCACATGCACGCACGCTCCTCTCCTCATTTGCACACACTGCCTTCGTCACTCAGGCTGGAATTCATCTGACCCTGATCCTCTCTCTCTCTGTCTCTTCCTCCCTCCCTCCTCCCCATGTCTCCAGGATACAGCAGGGAGGGGCTGAACCTTTGTGATGCTGCTGCCGGCACCCACACCCACTGCAAATACAGTTTGGGATATCTCAGAGGGGGGAAGTAGGTTAGCAGCAGGCACCATTTGGAAAGGCCTCCATGTGACGTTATAATCCTTTTGTGTCTGGCTAATCCAGTGCAATACAGTCTGTGTGTGTTTGTGTGCTGTGAGAGATGCTGCAGGGCTGGTGCTCCCTCTATTGGCGATCAAGTGGAACCACAACAGCCTTTGTTCTCTTGGGTCTCATGCAGAAAAGTGACACCACTATCGCATTGGTCCCTTTCAAGGCAGAATGACAATGATGGGGCACGTGATACTTCTGTACCCACCTGATACCTTTTCCATCACTTTGCTTGCAAGATATTAGTTGACATCATCTTCAGGTAGGAGTTCAGGTCCTGCCCTTCCCAGCTCAGCAATGCCAGTGTCCTCAGGCTGCTCCATAATGTGGAGTGGAAAACTGAATAGAGAAAAATCAAATCCAGGCCCCTTAAATCAAATAAATCTGCACCAAATAACATGTCAAAGATATCAGTTCCTTAAACATGCCTGATTTTCTTCATCGACATCCAGGAGTTATTCCCCTGGAAATTTATGCAAATTTTGAAAATCTCTCTTAATGTTAAAGAAAGACCATTTAGGGGTTCTTCCCTGACCCATACCGCATATTACCACCAAGTTTCATGGAAGTGCATCTGTACTTTTGGTGTAATGCTGCTAACAAACAAAACCGGGTTAGGGTTAGGTTAATTGTTAGGTAATAGCCTCTACTGATGCGTGAAACATTTGAACACCTCACAGAGGACAAGGGAAAGAAGTCGTGAGAGGGTTTGGCTTCGTATCAACATTGTTGTCCCTATTGTCAGGTTGATTGGCCTAAATGTCAGGAGGGGGTTTGGCTTGGTGCTAGTAGGCTGCATGTCACATTTCGATCACTAGATGGCGACCTAAACAAACTGGAAAAGTCAACACAGCCCACAATGGAGTTTCACACAAATTCAAGCTTCTATTTTTGGTTGTGTTCCACTCTCTCTAAGCAGAAACTGGATCATAGACAACAGTGTCAAACTGTGTCACAAGTGTTGTTGTAACAGACTGTGTTGACCTTTGACCCCTGTGGAATCATAAAGGTGGTTAAATCCTGAGTAAAAAGTGAGTTTGTGTACAAATCATTTTATTGTTTCAACAGTTTATAGATTATATGAGGGAGAGATGTAAAAACATGGACAGGGACTGTGAAGTTACTTTGCTGCATTTTCTTTTTTTAATTGTTGCCTGTTTATTTGACTGAAAGTGTTTTGTTTTTGTGGCCATCAAACTGAACAACCTGGCCCCCTGCTGGAGGGAGGACCACTGACAATAACACCAATACTATTATTACTATTATACTTCATGTC